AAAGTGGGAAGAAGAACAAATGGATCTTAATACGACTAATATAAACCAAAACACGGATGGAAATAAGGAAGAGAACGGACCTATGGTCCAAGACAAGAAGACTCCCTATTACGCTAGAGGATCTCATATGGACGGGTGAGCCGCTTAAAACGCTCTCGATACCCGTAATACTCTGTGATACGAAGGAAAGCGTAGACTCGAGCCTTTCTGCAACCCTGAACCAGGGAAACAAGAGGAGCCCCACCAGGACAGAACGCGCAGGCAGAGCCCTAGCCCGAGAAAAGAGAAGGGCCGCGAGGACCGAAAGGGCCAAAATATACTCGAGGACGAGAGGAACAACCGACACGGAAAAAGAAGGGGACACTGACGCAGATACGGTAGTGGACACCACAGAAGACACAAACTATGAAAAGGAATACCCCCTCTCCCTACAAAGCCAACAATACAGGCACAACAAGAGGGAGAAACAGGAACGAAGGTGGAAACTCACATCTGAAATTGATGAAGAGCAAGCATTGCCGCAAATGAAGAAACACAATAAACCAGGCCGTCCAATAACAAACGGAAGAGGCAAAGAGATACAGAGAGAAAAAGAGGCCAGGAAAATAGAGAAGGAGGAGCGCCTGGAAAGGGAAATCTTGGATCCCACATACGGACCCCAACCAGGTAAATCCTACAACAAGTTCCTGGAACTGATAAGACGAGTTCTGCCAAAAACCGATCCCCGACCTAGAAGCGATTGCTTCAGAAGGAGCGGCTGCGATATACAAAGTCGCAGTCAACTCTGGGAATATTAAAGGCACGCTGATTAGGCAAGCCAAGGAGGCAGCTGCAGATATGTGCGCGACAACAATCACCCTAGCCATAAGGGCGCAAAACCCGATGGAAACGCCAGTGGAAAAGCAAATTCAGGAACTGCGATACTGGGTGCACCAGCTGTTGATGGGAAAACAACAGTTGGAAAAAGAACTGGAAAAGGAACGCAGCAGGAAATCCCGCAAGAAGCCCCACTGGGATACTTCAGAGGAGGAAAGAGAGGAGACGCTCAGCGCAGACAACGCCAGAGTCAAAACGAGGAGAAGGAGAAGGATTGAAGGGGCCCCACTTCCGCTCAAAAGCAGAAGGGCCCCACCAACCCAAAGAATAGGAATGCTCAGGGAAACCTCACTTCCACCAGTTGGTGGGGAAGTCTCCCTAAACGAGGATGTAGAGATGCGGGAACCTCACCTCCACCATACGGTGGGGAGATCCCCAGCACCTCTGGATTAAAAAGAAGGAAAAACAACAAGGTAGGAAAGAAAATAAGAAAGGAGGAAAAGATGGAAATAGGATACGAAGAGGATGTCCCAAGACCCACCGAGACATACCCCTCAAATAAACAAGGAGGAAGGGAAAATACATCCCTAAAATCAGGAAACCTGCACATCTCCAAGGGAAACATGGAATACACGATCCCATGGGAAAGTGCAGAAAACGAAGCCAGAGAGAGGGAAGAGAACTCTAACTGGATCGCCAAAATAGAAGGCATCATTGAAAGAGTGCTCGATAAGAGACTAGGATGCCCGATCCCTACCTACGGGGATAAACTTAGAAATAAAACAGAGGCAACATTATCGGGAGGACAACCAAAGGCCGCCAAACCAATAGTGAAGAAGGTGGAAGAAATAAAAAAGGCAGTAAAAATACTGCCCACCACCCTGAACCCACCGGCCCGTGTAGCAACTTCAAGAACCCCTCTACCCAAACTAAAGAGAGAGGGGAACACGAAGGAGAAGAAGGCAACACCCAGGCAAGGTAATAATAGGACGCAAAAAGAGGGGCAACCCCAAATATCGAGAAAAGTGGAGAAACCACAAATCCCGAACAGAGCGGACGAGCAACAGAAAGACACCACCACATGGAGCGAGGTGGTGTCGAGAAGAAAGAAAAGAACGGAAACCACAATTACGAAGAAGACGGAGGCTGTAGAGGCAAAGAAAGGAGCGGATAAAAGAGTGACAAACCCTGCTCTCTCTAAACCCAATATACAGCCAAAAACAAATGGCAAAAAGAAGGAGCCCAAGAGAGCGGCTGTCACCATTACGTGCCCCCCCCCCGGTACATACGAGGAAATCCTCCGAGAGGCACGAATGAAAACGGACACAAAGGGCCTGGGAATCGAAGGAGCCAGAATTAGAAGAGGAGTAACTGGCTCCTACATCTTTGAAATTCCCGGGCCCGACGGCAACGAAAGGGCCGATAGAATCGCTCTAGGACTGAGGATGGCACTGGCAGGTAAAGAGGGCGTGAGAGTGCAGCGCTCAACCAAGATGGCGGAGCTCAGACTTCGGGGCTGGATGAGTCAATACAGACCCCCGAAGTCAGAGAGGCAGTGGCCAGAGCTGGCAGCTGTGAAGAGGAGGACGTACACACCGGGGAAATAAGAAAGACCCCCGGTGGTATGGGAATTGTGTGGGTTTGCTGCCCACTAAAGGCAGCGAACCACATAATGAAATCGGGATCTGTAAGGATCGGATGAGCAATCGCGCGCGCGGAGATGCTGGAGGCCAGACCCCTCCAGTGTTACAAATGTTTGGAAGGGGGCCACGTGCGCGCGAGATGCCCCAACAACACGGACCGCAGCGGCAGATGTTACCGCTGCGGAGAGAAGGGACACGCGGCACGGAACTGCACAGCCGACGTGAAGTGCCCGGTGTGCGCGGACAAGGGACTGCCCGCAAATCACAGAGCGGGCGGCAAAGCGTGCACACCGGTGCACAAAGGAAAAAGGGGTGTTCCGCTTAACAAAGTGATGGAGCACCCCAGAGGAACAGCCCAAATGACCGTTCCAGTTGCCCCCCTTATGAGCCTCGAGGAGCTCAAGGAACAAAGGGCTCTTCGCTCCAGAACAGCAAGGGGGAGAAGAGGGAAGAGGAGAAGCTCCCAATGAAAGGAGGGAGAAAAAGAAGAGGTTGCAAGAGGACCTGAAGGAAGGAAACCCCGCTGCGATGGACACAACGGGGCCCGCGGAAGCAGCAGCAAGAGAAGATGGCCTGTAATGTACTACAGGCCAATGTAAACCATTCAGGGTCGGCTCAGAACCTCTTCGTACACACAATGGCGGAGAGGGACTGTGGCCTGGGGATTGTAGTGGAGCCGCACCGCGTGTCAGATAACTGGATAGGCAGTGCGGACGGCTCTACCGCGATCGCCCAAAGGAGCGCGTCTAACTCTCCCCCGACAGAACCATTAAGGTCGGGGGAGGGCACAGTAACAGTAAGATGGGGGTCCACCATCGTTATTGGCGTGTATCTCCCGCCGAGTCTTAGTAGAGAAGACTTTTGCGGGAGACTACACGCCATAGAGGAGGGACAGATTGCAGAGTACCACCCGCCCCAATAGTCGTCGCCGGGGACTTCAACGCCAAATCAGGCGTTTGGGGCTCCCCGCGCGATGACTGGCGGGGTGGTCAAGTTCTGGATTGGGCGGCGCGGTGTGGGGCTCCTCCCCTGCAACAGGGGGAGTAGGTCCACATAAATCATAGATCTGACTTGGGGCACTCCCTCTGCCTCGAGGCTGGTGAGCGGATGGGAGGTGCTGGCGGAGACGGAAACAATATCAGACCACAGATATATAGAGTTCTCCGTCAGCGCCTTCCCCCGCGAGGTAATAGAGCGCCGCCGCGAGAAAGAATCTGTCTCTCGAAGGTGGACCCTAAAGAAGTTAGATCAGGACGCGTTCCTGGCCGCAGTCGAGGCGGCTCTGATGGTTAGAGGAAAGAAAGAAGGGGGTTCAACAACAAGAGGAGGAAATGGCATGGCTGCTACAAACTATTAGAAACGCATGTAACGCAGCCATGCCCAGAAAGAAAAGGAAACCCCCCCGAAAAGCTTATTGGTGGTCGGAGGAGATCGCAGAGGCAAGGCGCTCCTCCGACCAAGCAAGAAGGTTGGTCAGGAGAAGGAAAAGACTCGAGCAGTCAGACCCCGAAAGATATCGGGACGCGTGGGACATCTACAAAGAAAAGCGAGATGACCTACGCGTCCTGATAAGGAAAGCAAAGGCGAGAGCCTGGGAGGAGCTGCTCTCCTTTCTGGACGAGGACCCGTGAGGGCGCCCATATCGCATTGTTTTGAAAAAACTGAAAGGAGGAAGCGCCCTACTACGGAGTCCTTGGACCCCCAATTTGTTAGCTGAGTCATCGAAACCCTGTTCCCGCGGGAGGAGGGTCCAAGCGACCCAATTCCTGAGCGGCGGTGGGAGTGGGACGAGGAGGCTATGGGAGTCACAGAGGGAGAGCTCCGGGACGCCATCAGGAAAAAAAACCCGGAAACCCCGGGTCTTGATGGCGTCCACGGGAGAATATAAGCTCTCGCCTATCAGGGTCTAGCTGGACCCATGCGGAGGATGTATAACAAATGCCTCCGCATGGGTCGTTTCCCACGAGAGTGGAAGGAGGCAAGAGTAGTCCTCCTTCCCAAAGAGGGCAAGCCGAGGGATGCTCCCTCGGCGTATAGGCCAATATGCCTGATAGACGAGGCGGGTAAAATTCTTGAAAGAATAATAGTGGACCGCCTCGTCTACCACTTGTCCCGGGAAGGACCAGATCTGAGCCGGGATCAATACGACTTCCGGGTCGGACGATCCACGATAGATGCATTTCTTCGGGTTCGTTCGATTTCGGGAGCCGTAACGGAGGAAGGCGGGGTGTTGATGGCGGTATCGTTGGATATATCCAACGCCTTCAACACCCTTCCATGGCACCGGATAGGGGCGGCCCTAAATCACCACGGGGTCCCCCAATATCTGGTGTCAATCCTGGCGGATTATTTCCGGGACAGGCAACTGGCCTATACAGACAGAAATGCCGAAGAACAAAGGCGTCAGATGACATGCGGGGTTCCACAGGGATCGGTACTCGGACCGGACCCCTGCTGTGGAACCTTGCCTATGACGCCGTTTTTCGGCAGGCCCTCCCCCTGGCTGTCCACACCGTGTGCTATGCGGACGACATACTGGTGATGGCCGGGGGGAACTCGTGGGAAGAAGCGACCGCTCGAGCAAACTTAGCGGTGAACCGTGTCGTGCGCTTGGTGAGACAGATGGGTCTCAAGGTGCCGCCCCAAAAAACCGAGGCCATCTTTCTTCACGATGGCTCTCATGGGGCGCCGCCGAGAGCCCACATCTATGTGGAGGACACCCCGGTTGAGGGGGTGAGGGCCTGTTTAAAATATCTGGGCCTTCACCTTGACAGCAAGTGGACCTTCAAGGAACACTTCCGCCAAATCTCCCCAAGGTGGAACGGGCAGCTATGGCTTTCAACGTCTGCTGCCCAACCTCGGGGGACCGGGGCGGAGGTGTCAGAAGGTTGTACGCCGGAACAATTCACGCCATGCTCCTGTACGGGGCCCAGTTTGAGTAGAAAAACGGAGGCCGCCCGCGGCCCGAGGAATGCACTCAGACAGGTGCAAAAGCGGGTGGCCAACAGGATCTGCAAAAGCTACCGTACGGTGAGCTGAGCGGCGGCGGGGGTAACCTCAGGGATGCCCCCGTGGAGATGCTCGCCCGCATGTATGCAGACGAGTACAAACGTACACAGGAGTATCAGCGGGCGGGCGTCGCAGTAACGGAGGGACTCGGCGTACATTGAGGGTCACACCCGACGGGCGCTGATCCAAAAATGGAAGGACAGCCTGGCAGACCCGACATTGCCGGGCCAGCGCACCATCGGGGCTATA